TTTCTCACACCTGGGGACCATGTGGCACCAGAGTGAATCCAGAGCTTCCATCCTCAGTGTTTTTACTTTCTCCATCAAGCTTTAATATGTGCAAATATGTACTTTATTATTCCAACTGCAGTATTATCAACTTATTATCCCCAGTAACATAACCATCATTTTCTAATACCATATAATACCTTTCAGGTTCTCAAATGAGAAGTATTTTAGTATCATTGTGAATGGTTTTATATTTCTAAATTTTTAATTACATCTTATTTAAGAGTTCAGGAAATAAACTGATCTTTTTCAAGAACTTGACTTTCCAATCCAGGAAAACAGTAAATAAATTCAATTTTAATAGCATTCTGAAGTTATAATATGCACACTGCATTACAACATTTACTGTGTAGGTTATATATAAATCTTCTTAGCATTAAAGGAGGTTTATGCTTAAAAGGATAATTCCACTTGGTTAAATTTAATGTCACACATTACATAATTGTGACATTATGAATAGAGCCAACTAACACTTTCCTTTTCAATGCCTCCATGGTTGACTAATCCCTCTTTTTTCCACTTAAAAAGAAAAAAATTCCTCACCTTTAAAAAATAAAAAAAAAAGTTATAACCAAATCCTGTCCTGTCACCCCAAGAAATAAGACTGGTGAGACAGAACAGGGGAAAGGCACTTGCCTTGCATGCAGCTGACCCTGTTCGATCCCAGGTGCTGGCATATGGTGCCCCATCCTGGCCGAGCTACGAGCACAGAGCCATGACTAAGCACAGCAGGATGTGTCCCACCTGCCCTCCAAACACAACCACAGCCGGTGGTTAACAACTAACTACTAGTTAGTAGTTATATCACAGGATATAAAACTTTTTTAACAAAGGATAAGATTGAAAAAGCTACACCCGGAGAGGCAATATTTCTATTTGACACACTATAATGACACTGAGCATGTCAGAAGGACAACAGAAAAATGTTTATAATGAGATGTTTTATAAAGGAGTATGATATAAATTCAGAAATTACTATCAACTGTTTGGCCCATTTAAAGTTACACCTTTTAGCAAAGGCAACTTGGAAGAACATTTCAGTATTTTTTTCAAAATTTCATTAGAAAATTAAGCTAATCAATCACATACTGCAAATTCATTATGCAACAAAGTTCCCTAAAAGTTCAAATCATATGTACGACCTAAACAACATATATAACACCTTATATGCCACCATATTAGTAATAACAAAAAAGGGATACTTCCCAAGAAGAATAAATGGCCACTCTCCAAAAATAAATAATATTAAGCTAAGTAACAGCAGTGTTCCAAAAGTAAAGAAATGTCTCACAATTAGCCAGTTCAGAGCCAAGATGAAGACAGATCTATACTAACTAGGTCCAAGGACACAGAAATCCACATAAAAACTGAAAATAAAAAGAAGAACCTAGGGAACCAGATAGCTCAAAGAGTGAGAGCAAGTTTTGCATGCTGGAGTGCTGAGTTCAATCCCCAGCACAAGTTTCCCTGAGAGAGAACAACCAACTGCAAGTAATAACCAACCAACCAGCTCGTGGCCCAAAAAACAAAAAAGAAAAAAAAATTTGAAAAAAAAGAGGTGAGGGGCCAGAGCTAGAATACAGCCAGTAGGACGTTTGACTTGCACAGACCCAACCTGGGTTTGATTCCCAACATCCCATATGGTCCCCTGAGCTCATCAGGAGTTATTCCTCAGTGCAGAGCCAGGAGTCATCCCTGAACATCATCGCTAGGTGACAACCAAAAAGGAAAACAAAACAAAACAAAACAAAAAAAAAAATGAAATAGGGTTACATAGTGGAAATCAGTCAATAAAAACAAACAAAAAATTTTGACACTTAGAAGTAATTTAACCCTCTTACAACTGCTGTGAACCACAGTAGTTCTCAGACTAGCAGCTGACTTAAGAGAACTATGAGAATATCCAAGAAAGCTTTAAACTATACCAACACCACCACGAGGAACAACTAGCAGCTGCCTTTGTTCCCAGGAGCATCCAATCCAAGGAGATTCCAGCAAATTCCCCTTCCCTTGCAGTCATTAAAGTCTGTTCCTCACAGCCACGAGACTCTAACTTAAGTCCTCCATGGTAACTCCTACCAAGTATTTTCCTTTTTCCCTCCAGAGTAACTATTATTACCCACTGAACAGCAGCTCCTTCTAAAACGGACACGAGCCTCCTTTTCCTGCCGCAGCGCCCCAGGCTCGTGGTTGGTGACGAGGCTGCGCCCACCTCCCCAGCCTCCTCAGAATACATGCACATTCACACTCCCTGTTCAGTGGCTCTTCCAGGCGTCCACCCTGATTCTCTCTCTCAAGTGCATATTTTCCTACATACCCTCCCACACAGAGAGGCATGACTAAGTGTCGCAGATCCGAGCAATTCAACTTACCCATTCAGATACCCATTCCACAAGCCACAACATTTATGCAAGGTTGTGTGCCAAGCCTCGGGCAATACAACAAATCCCGCCCGTGTTTTTAACACAGCAGCATCAGTGGCCAACCTCCTGCCCCACGGACAAACACCTGCGGAGATTTAAAAGTACTGAGAACTTGTAGCCACACGTGTCTGATAGTCAAGGCCAAGTATTTTCTTCCCTTAAACCTCCGACCTCCAAACGGAAGTCCGAGAAGTCCTACTAAACATGGAACTGTGCAGATGCAAGGTGGACTGGAGACTCACTCTTTTATCGCTAATAGCAGGCCAGTCTAGAGGACTAGGAATTTTATTTAAAATTTATTTATTTTTTATTAGTGAAACACCATGAGGTACAGTTGTAGACTTACAAGTTGTTGTGCTTGGGTTTCAGTTATGCTGACTTCCGAAAAGTGCACAAAGATAAAGCAAAATGAATAGCTGGTCAATCATTCAAACTTCAGCTGCAGCCTAGGGCATCTGCCTGGGGTCAGCAAACAGTACCACATGTCCTTGAGCATCATGAGGGGTGGGGTGGGGAGCCCTGGGTGGCACTGCAGGGACCCCAGCACTGAACCACCCAGCTGGTTGGCCAAGTCCCTTTAGGAGAGGCTCCCGAACCTGCTATGCAACTCCTGGGAGGTCTAACATTAAATTAAGGGTCTGGAGCGATAGCACAGTGGGCAGGGCATTTGCCATGCACCCAGCCAATGAGGATTCGATTCCCAGCATCCCACATGTTCCCCCAAGCACTGGCAGAAGTGATTCCTGAGTGCAGAGGCAGGAGTGACCCCTGAGCATCACTCGGTGTGACCCAAAAAGAAAACAAACCAAAAAAAGCAACAAAAAACCCATTACATTAAATATGACACTGGTATGCCAGGGGACAGCATCATGCCTGCTTTGCAAGTGGAAAGTTTCACGTCCAATCTGCAGTGCTGTCCACATTTACTGGGCACAGGCTGGGTGGCTCCAGTTTGGGACCACACCATCTCCCCCCATCAACAGAACAGGGTAATCTTCGAAGCACTGCAGGAGCTTCAACCCCAGAGTAGAAGCATATGAACTCTAACTGTAGATGTACAAACTCTCATCTAGGGGACACCGACGTGAGCACTGCTGCAACCCTGAGAAAGACCAAGAATCAAGGTGCACAAGCCCCAGGAAGTATGCACGTATGTGAGATATCAGCAGAGGAAGGAAAAGAAGACAAACTATTTAAAGGGGAAAAAACAGGGGCTATGGGGCTTTAGAGACAGTCCGAGATTAAGGTGCATCAATCATTGGCACCACATGGTCATGGGGCACAGCCGTGAAAACACTGAGCACTGTGGAAGGTGGGATGAGTATGTGTGTATATAAAAGAAAGAAAATGAATCTGTGACTCTGCAGGGCCTGAGCAGCACCATATCCTCAGACCCTAATGCTAACCCACCAGTTTGGAGGGGTACTGGGACTCCCCCAATAAAAAATAAAAACAATAAAGAATGCATCAAAGATGTGAGTTCACTCACTCATTGTGCAATGATCTATTACTATTGGTTGAGAACAGACTATCTATAAACATTCTACTAGTTATATATGGGCTACAAGGATCAGATTCAAACTCAGTCCTTAAGAAGATGGCATCACGCCTCTTTGTGGCCACAGGTCATTTCTAACTTCTAAGGAAAATATAAGCACCATGCAAATTTTGGATAACTAACATATAGTCGCTTAGCAGCTGTTTTTCAACCTATTAAATAAATGGCACTGGATATAACAGGGGCTCCTAAAGAAAGAACCCCAGGTTTTAGGGGTAAACATACACCAAAAGCATCAGGAGGTCCTTGTTGATTTTTATATCCTAAAAAAGACCTGAAGGAGAAAGGAGATCAAAGTAGATGGAAAAGAAAAACAAGCCTCTCAACACTTTAGTAGACTGTGATAAGGTGGGAAGAGTAATTGTACATAAATCCAGATTTTCAATTCCTGAAACATAAATGGGACATGAAATTTCTTAATATAAGCAAAGAATAAAAACAGTGGTAGTGAGTGGTTTGCTACCACATCTTAAATTTAGTTTATCCTACATTAAATTATTTCACTGATTTAAGTGTAAACTGCAACTAGTAACGGTTAACTCAAAGGGGAAGAAAAAAACTAATTCACTAAAGTCCATGTGGGGGTGGGGGAGAATATGTGGCAACAGAAGCCATAGTCTGAAATTGCATCGTGAGATCTGTCTAACCACCAACAGCCACTAGGGACTGCTGACAAGATTACGAGCAAAGAGTTAACTTTGCAAAACTCAACCTATCGCTTCCCAATGTATACACATATACAGTATCCTACTTTTTTGTTGCTATAAACATATTTTCTGCCAAGGCCTTGCAAGTGGCTAAGTGCTAAATTCCAACCCTGGCCCTGGATGGCCACCAAGTACCAGCTGGAATGGGCACTATCTAAAAACATAGCTGGCAATAGTTTCCAAATTTATGGGGTAAAAACAAAAAAGATAAATGCTAACACGGTAATACACTTCAGAACATGAGATCTTAAGTTAGCGCATCTAGGTACTTACATTAAGAAGTAACTCATCTTTTGTCTTTAGAGGAAAAGTCTTATTTTCCTTCTCAACTTGTAAGTCATCCTCTCCATCTGACAGCGCTAGCGGAAGTGACATGTGGGAGGAGGAAGATGACGAAGAGGAGGAGGAAGAGGAGGAGCTTGAGCTATCTGAATCTGTTTCACTGTAGGGAAAAAGGTGAAAAGTTAGTCAAGTATTATTCAGATGGCATGAAAATAAGAGTCTTCAAATGGCAAATATCTTTCACATTCTTCCTACTGTCTGTATGAATCTGTATGAAGTTAAGATTGGAAGCCGACAACGTATCTTTGATAGGATTCTGAAAACTAACTTTCAGGGGAGAGATAAGGGAGAGAAGTCCTCGATATGAATGAAATCTTTATATCCCACAGCAGTCAGAATTTTCTCTTTTTTTAGCCAGTGTTAAAAAGAACGGCACTCAAGGGCCTGCAGTAGCCTTTTACCTACTGATAACATTTTCAGAAACTGCACAACCCAAAGTTTGTTTGTTTTTTTTTGTGAATATTTTTACTGTGAAGAAATTCTTTGTTTTGGCTTTTGGGGTCACACCTAATGATGCTCAGGGGTTACTCCTGGCTCTGCACTCAAGAATCACTCCTGTCAGTGCTTGGGGGACTATATGGGATGCTGGGAATCAAACCCTGGTCTATCATGTACAAGCTCTACCCCAGTATCACTCCGGCCCCACAACCCAAAGTCTTATTATAACAGGTTTACCCATCACACATCCATCTTAAATAACCATGCAACAACAACAACAAAAATCACTGACTAAACAAAGCTCAAGATAGGGCAACTCTGATTAGTAATTGACAACAGGATCATTTCATTGCGAATAAAGAGCTTCGGTCGTTAGATACTTGCAAACTCCTGGAAGCCACCAACGGCACTGACCACCTCTGCCTTCTGGAAAGTCCCTTAGTGCTTATCTGTCCCTCCATTTCTCAAAGTCCTCCATCACCACAGCTCCAAGTCTAGGGGACACCTGTTACCATTTACACAGCATTTAACATGGTTTCCCATGCACTTTTTCAAAAACCTTTTATTTTCTGATATTCACTATACTATCAAGGTATTCCATCTCCAAGCAACAACTTCCGTCTACACTGATTTAAATATAACCTACATTTAAGAGCGATTAAAAAGAAGTATCTGGAAGCATTGTTTGAATCCTGTTTGATTTCTAAAGGCTTAAAACCTCCCTTGAAACAATGAGAAAGATCTGAATATAGAAAGGGCATAAATTTTTGACTCTGGAGATAGGGCAGCTGACAGGGCACATGAGTCCAGAGTTTGAGCCCGGGCACCACACGGGGTCCTCCCAGCCCCGCCAAGAGTGATCCTTGAGCACAGCGTCATGAGTAAGCCCTGTCACAGAGTGGTATGGTCCCCAAAACGGTGGAGGGGTGAGGGGGAGAGGGAAAGGAATAGGGAGAAGAGAGAAGCAGAGAAATTAGGGAACTAGAGACACACTAGAAATTATTAAATACTAAATATTAAATTATTAAGATATTAGGTAGAGAAACTAAGGGACTAGAGAAAACTAGGCTGAGAGGCTGAGCCATTTTCTATTCCTGGTACCATATGGTGAACCGCTCCGCCCCCCCCCCCCCCCAGCCCCTGCCAGGAGTACCCAAAGCACTGCCTGTGGATATGGCAATTTTTAAGAGAGAGAAAGGGGAGAGGGACGGAATCTGGTATAATTTTATTGTGCCTGGTATTAGCATGGTGGCTACAGAAAAAAGTTTTCAGTCTAATTATTAAAGGGAAAAAAACCTAGGGGAAAAAAAACCCTGCAAGTAGTATGTCTGATAAGGGATTGATATTAAATATATTAAGGACTCCTACAATTCAACTGCAAAATATAAACAAATCTCATCAACTAATCCAATTGAAAACAGGCAAAGGATCTAAAGAGGAAATTAAAATCCAAATGAGATACCACCACTCAGCATTTAAAAGGGTCACTATTAAAAAGACAAAAGCTGACCTGATGGCTGACCGGATGTGGTGGGAAGGAAACTCTTACGTACCTTGTCTGAGACCAAAAAGTGGTATAGCAGACAGTCTAGAAGTGATCCAAAACATTAAAAAAAAATTGAAATCCAACAACTCCACTTTGGAAAAAGATTAAAAAATAAATAAAAGGATTAAAATCAGTTACGAGGGTCTATGAACTATCTGAACTGGCATACTCTGCATTCTGGAACCCAGAGTTCCATCCCAGCACTTCCAGTTCTCCCCCAGAGCAGAGCTAGGTGAACTGGAAGAAGAAAGTACACAGGGAAACCTCTGGCTGCAAGACCAATAGGCATGTAATACACAAGACTACCAGAGTTTACAGCGTTGCCCCATGCATTGGTAAGTTACTGAAAAGTAGACTCTAAGAGTTCTCACCATAAGGCAAACTGAGTTCCTTCTCTTAGAGTACAATGATAAACCTAATGTAAACACTGGACAGTGCATGTAAAGGTAAAGGTAAAGGCCCTCCCGTTGATCGTCGATTTGCTCGAGCGGGCCCAGTAACGTCTCCATTGGAGACTTTGTTGTTACTGTGTCTGGCATATCGAATACTCTCGGTAGCTTGCCGGGCTCTCCGAGAGGGGCGGAGGAATCGAACTCGGGTCGGCCATGTTGGCCGCGTGTAAGGCGAACGCCCTACCCGCGGACAGTGCATGTAAATTAAACAATCATGTTACACACATGACACACAGGGATGTAAACTCTAAATAAAACTGAATTTTTCCAACTTCCCAACCCATCCCCACCAAAAAGTGCTTCATTTTATTAGAAATGTAAGGCAAAGAATTGACTGATAAGGGGGAATGCTGAGATTTGCATTTAAATTCTCAGGTTAATAAAAGAATGCTGGTTGGGGCTATAGTAACAGCACAGCAGGTAGGCCTGGCAGAATTCCATTCCTAGCACCACATGTGGTCTCCCAGACCCACCAAGAAAGATACCTGACTACAAAGCCAGGAGTGAGACAGTTTGAGCAAATGGTTTGTGTGAGATCCTGTGCCCCGCCCCCAACACCTCAGATAAAACAAGATTAGCGAGACATTAAAAATTAGACTTGGAGTTGAGTACACATGCAGTCATTATCTGCTCTACTTTTTTACAAGTATCTAAAGTAGCTTTATCCTGAACCTATTAACTGGAGCTAAAATCTCCATCTTGCCATCCTGATAGTACCTCGAAGTAGTACTGCAAGGACAAAATATATTGGGAGGATTGTTTTTTGTTTTTTTTTTAAAAAAAAGATAATTAAATTGTTTTTTTCAAGTTTTTTTTTTTAAAAAAAGATAAATTGTTTTTTTCAAGTTTATGTCTCCAGGCCAGAATTGTCATCTGAACTCTAATTATACTCATTATCCTACTGGCTCAGCTGGCACCTCTAACTGGCTAGCCGAGGAAATTAGTTCAATTGCAGCACTCTTAGGAGGCTTAGCCCCCACCCCTACCAAGGGACTCCCCTCCTCCCAGGAAGCCACATCCCTTAGCAAGAGCATTTCGCATCTGATTGCAAGCCTGTTGCTTTCCAGACCTAGGTGATAGAAATCCAGACGACTACTGTTACATATCAAGTACTACACATTCCAGTTGTTTCTAAGTAGCCCTGTGCCACTGGTTTTCTTGTTTCCACCCTTGAACTCTGTCCAACTCCTTCTCTTCAAAGGCAAAAAGCGTATTATTAGAACGTTATTTCTGGTCCTCCCCGATTCCCAGATTAAAATCCTTCAAAAGCGTCTCGAAGACTCAGAATTAAAACTCACAGAACAAACTGACTAGGGCTGTGCTCTGACTTTGTTGGCGCGTCATCTGTTCCTTAAGAGATCATTTTCACCAACTCAAATTATTTTTGTGTTTATTTATGTAACCTGGGATCCCTCTCCCTGGGACGGAGGGCCAGCATAAGCCATCTATAGAGCCACGCTCCTCCCACCAGAGACCTCATATGCAAAAGCAGCCCCCGCGTTTCGGAGGTAAAACTCTAAGAATCTCTGCAGAGCCTGCAGTAATAAATAAAACACCTGGCTCGAGGTATGTATCCTTTGGTGCGCACTAGGGCTTTCGGAGTTAACAAAATCGTCAGGAGGCAACTTAAAGACATTAAAAATAACAATAATAATAAAAAGTCCCGTGATTCTCCACCTACTAAAATACAAGACCACACAACAACTCAACTTCACGACAAGTCAGATCTGACACCAAACAGAAAAAAAAATCAGTATCTAACCACTAAACGCCCAGAGCAAACTGAGCAGTTAGGCTGAGATAGAGATGCTCGTATCCTCAGGTTTCCCAGGGTCTCACTGAACCGATTGCCCGGGATTCCGGGGCGTCCCGGCTCAGGGGTGCAGCGCGCTTGATGACCCAACTCCGATTCCCCCGCCGCGATTCGCAGGGAGCGAGGAAGGGGCGGTCCCAGCTCCGCGGCTCCTCCACGTGCGCCCCGACTTCTCCCGACCCACGCGCGCATCCGGGGTCTCCCCCCTCCCCGGGGTCCCGGCGCCCCAGTTGCCGGCTCGGTGCGCACCCGACCTGTCCGAGTCCGAATCCGAATCCGAGGTGTCCAAGGGCGCCGCGGGACGTGGCACTCGCGGGGAGCCAGGGTGGATGACGCAGGTCTCGCCGGGGACACCGGTGAGAGGCGCGAGCTGCGTGCACCCCGGGGCCTGCCCGGTGTCCAGCCCCTCCCCTGCGGCCTGCAGCTGCGGTGTGGGATCCGGGTCAGGAATCGGGTCCGGGGACGCCCCCGCCTGACCTTGGTCAGCCCCCACGCCGAGGCCGTTGCATGTCGGCAGGTCCGGCGGAGCCGCGGCGGCCTCCCCGACTTCCATGGGGTCACGCCGAAGGCCGGAAACAAATCTCGCCGGGTCACCGGGCCGGGGCCAGCGCGGGACGGGCACGGCCGCAGGCGCCACCGCTCTCGGGCCCAACTTGGCGCGTTCCTGAGGCCACTCCACGCGGACACACCTGCGGACACGCCCCCGCCGCTTGCTCGTTCGGCGGCGCTTCCGGGAGAGCGTCGGGCGCGCCGTGACGTCGGCGCGCCTGGGGGCGGGGCGAACCCACCCGCCGGTCCCCGGAGAACCCGGCCCCGCGCTGTCCTGGACGGTCAGTACCAGCGCGCTTGCGCCCAGAACTGTTTGGTTTTTTTTTTTTCCCCGGCCAAGGAAATAGAGGCAATGCCCGATTGTACGAGGCTTTGTGCATCAGAAACTTAAGCGAGAAACTTAAGCCAGAAAAGCTTTACCAGGCACTTCTAGAAACTTAACACGTTGACCATTCGTTTAAAACCAATCACCAGAAAGGACCTTTTCGTTTTTTCTTCTTACGTGCTTGGAATAAAGAGCAGTCACCGCAGATAGGATATTACTATTTATTGATGTTGTGATGCCCATACTGGAATTGACAATGCTATCAAAGACAGGCGGGATGAGCTCAACATGTAATAACTTAGTTTGGAAAACCATTGCTCTGGGTCAAGAACGTAAGACCGGCAAAAGTTTTTGTGGATTGAAGTAGACACCTGGATGTTCCGGCTTTCTGTTGTAACTAGTTTTGATGCATCAACCCTGGTTAATAATAAATAATAATGACTACTCGTTTATTAAGCAGCCGTACATGCCAGAGACGGTGCCAAGGGTTTTATAAATTGTTTACTCAGATTTTATTGTGTGGCCTGCACAGTAATAAATAGACCTTAATAAAGGCTTAAGATAAGAATAATGCATCTCTGGTGCTAAGGAGTTTTAAATCTCATTAGTGGAGTTTAAATATACATATATATAATATGTATGTAATTAAACCGTTGATGACTAGAAAGATAAAGAAATGTGGAGTAGAAGATACAAGTTCATCAGTACTTGGAAGTTAAGACTGGTGACTGCATCATGGAATCCCCAAAGATAAGCAGGAATTTGAACACATTAATCTTTAGTTCATGAGAGTTCAGTGTCCCCAATTAAGTAAACCATCTTCAAATCTCAGGTCTAGCATTTCCCTGTTATTATAGCTTTGACCTGGAACAAGTAGCCTTAAACAAATATCTTAATCTTATTTTCCTTTTCTGTAAAACAAGGAGATGAAATACTGCTTCACTTAAAAACTCTGAACTTTAACATACAAAAAGCAGTCAAAAGTTATACACAAAGTGAATGTGCAAAGCTATCTGATGGACTTAGCAATGCATGCATTATTAACAGAAGGATACTTCAGTGAGACAATTTTCTTGTAGCAATATGCAGTCTGAAGTTGAAGAAAAAAAATTTTAAGTCAGAAAAGCCCACCAGTGAGCCAAAAATCTGTTGGCTTTTTTCCAGGAATTATGATGAAAATTTGAAACAGGGATAGAATCAATTAAAATATAGAGTGAAATACAGAGTAAAGCATCAAAAATCAAAGTGCTATACAATATCTAATTAATGAAGCCAGAAATAAGATATTACCAAATAGAACAGAACAGTTGGAAAGACATGGTTTCTAATGGTGAATCTTAGGGTGGGGGAGCGGGGTAATTGGACAGTCAGCTTGTGTAGGATAACACTAGTTTGTCCTTTCAGCCCTGCTACAGGGAACTTAGGTTTATCGGATTACACCCATCACAGTGCTCCTGAATCACTCCCATTCCTTTGTTTATCTGTAAACTCTTCTCTGTGCTCTCCTCCCCAACCTGCTAATCACCTTTTTTCCTAATCAGATTCTTTAACTTGTAAGATCAGATCCTTCAAGGACACTGAACTTGCAAGTTATTTCTTTTGCATAGTTTACAGTAAAGCAATGTCCTTTTTGTATGGACACAGGAAGAGAGTATTATGCTTTTGTAACTTGGGAATTAATTGACTCCGAATAATATTCACTCCTGGACATCTGCTTTCTCGACTCAGTTGCCCTTTGTTTCTAATACCCCAAAAGCAGGGGCCCGATGAGGGACTGAATGGACCCGTGGCAAGCTTTGAGCTATCCTGGCATCGAAATGGGCCAGGCCAAGTGCCATAATACTTAATAGTTAAGAGCGTGTTCATGGATAAACTCTGTCATGACCCAAAAGAGGTAACTGGATAAAGCCCTCGCTGGGGTTAGGAAGACTAACCTGGCCTGAGGACTATGATCTAGAATATATAGTGAGATATCCTCAGGAAGAACCAAACTTTAAGTTTGATATATCTCTTACTGTGCTCATACAGAATGACATTGCTAGAAATATTAGAAGTAAAGTTACCACAACTATTTAAGTGGATTGCTAGCTGCGGAAAGAAGAAAGCAACACACTCTGGATGGAATCTCACCCTTCAGCCAATCCCCTAGTAACCTGGAGTAATCTCTTTAGATGAGATTTTATCCTTGTGTCAATCTCCTGGAGGAGTGGTTTATCTCTCTTTGTTGATTTGTTAATTTTCAACCCCACCCTTTGTATCACCACCCTATGTGATTACTATATAAACTAAGACTATAAGAGCAGAGGGGAATCCAGATCCCCTCAGGGGAAGCAGAGAAAGAGCCAGAAGCAGTCAGAGCCAGAACAGGGGTAAGAGAGCCAGAAGCCAAGAGAGTCAGAATCAGAGGAAAATCTAGAGAGACAAAGTCAGAAGGAGAGACGGTTACAGAGACAGTGGAGAGAGAGATAGAGGAGACAGATACAGCAGGAAGAAAGAATTGTGTGGTTAGAGACACAGAGAGAGGCAGAGAGAGGGCTGGAGAGAGCTGGGAGAGACAAGAGATTGAATAAACGCAACTAATTAGCAACCAGCTTGGTCTTTCCTTCACCTGCCCACCATAGCCGACAACCGTCCTGACCGGTGGAGAAGTGACTGGAGAGCACCGAATGCAGGTAGCGAGAGAGAGCTTCCTGGAGAGCCCCAGAACATCCTTTCACATGTAATCCCCGCCCAAGTGGGGCTGTTCACAGCACCGGGCAGCCCTATCTGGTGAATTTACACAAGATTGAAAATGCTAGTATCTTAAAACAAAAAACTGGAGTTTAGGGTGGAGAACTAGCACCATAGGAAAGTCATTTGCCTTGCATACAGCCTACCATTTGTTCTAGCACCACATATCTTCATCCTCAAGTACTGCCAGGAGTGATTCCTGAGCACAGTAAGTTCTGAACACAACCAGTATGGGCCCCCAAACAATCAAACAAACAAAAAGATAAACTAGAATTGATAGAAAGGCTAAGACCAGAAAGAGAGATTTAGGAACAGTTCAAATACTCATTGATCCGTTTAACCATCACAATAACACTTCCTATTGCTATGCATCACACAAGGAACTGGACCTTCAGAAACGAAAATACAACAGAGTCCACACCTGGTCTTAGGGAGTTAACAGTTTACTAGAAACAAAAAATTGTAAAGGGAGTGATAAATGTGCTGGTAGATGTTAGAGATGAAGTATGTGCTACAACTGAAACTATTCAAGAGCAGAAAAGTGCAGGGACCGGTAAGAATGACTTTACGATGATTAGATTTGAACTGGACCCAAGAGAATCATGAATAGGTTCATCTGAAAAAGAAGGAAAACTTCTTATAATAACCACTGTCACTGTACTCCCATTGTTCATAGATTTGCTTGAGCGGGCCCAGTAACATTGTGAGACTTGCTACTGTGTTTGGCATATTGAATACGTCACGGGTAGCTTGCCAGGCTCTGCCATGAGGGCGAGATACTCTCGGTAGGTTGATGGGCTCTCCAAGAGGGGCGGAGAAATTTCTAATAAATAATATAAAAATGGGCTGGAGCGGTAGCACAGCGGGTAGAGCGTTTGCCTTGCATGCGGCCGACCCGGGTTTGATTCCTCCATCCCTCTTGGAGAGCCTGGCAAGCTACCGAGAGTATCTCGACTGCAAGGCAAAGCCTGGCAAGCTCCCTGTGATGTATTTGATATGCCAAACACAGTAACAACAAGTCTCACAATGTTACTAGTCCCACTCAAGCAAGTCAATGAACAATGGGAGAACAGTGACAGTGACAATATAAAAATGCAATATAAAATATGATATTTTATGTAATAATAATAAAAATAATAAAGATCATTTCATATCCTGCCTAAAGTTCTACGTATTTTCAGTCATGCTTAGAATGACTTCAAGATTCCTCTATTGGTCTTCCAAACTCAGCCTGCTACCCACCTCTCCAGTTTCCAGCTCCTGTCACCTTCTTCTCCCTTTTACTTGCTTGCCTTTCAACATAAAGTTTGCTTCATCTTTACATATGCTCTTTGGGATAGCACGGAGGTACGATGCTGCCTTGCTCGCATCTAACCCAGGTTCTATCCCAAACACCCCAGGTGTTCCTCCTGAGCACTGCCAGGAGTGATCCCTGGGCTCAGAGCATCACAAGGTGTGATCCAACAACAACAACAACTACAGTTGATGCCTTACATGTGGACTTTTCACAGTGATAATTTCTCTCTGCTTTATATTCACTGTATCACTGTCAACCTGTTGTTCATTGATTTCCTTGAGCAGGCACAAGTAACGTCTCCATTCGTCCTAGCCCTGAGATTTTAGAAAGTGCCACATTGGAGGCTCCTTCAGGGTCAGGGGAATGAGACCCATCATTGTTACTGAGTTCTGGCATATCAAATACACCACGAGGAGCATGCCAGACTCTGCTGTGCAAGTCAGATACACTCAGTAGCCTGTCGGGTTCTCCAAAAGTGAGAAGTAGGCAATAAGAGGTTGTGGCCATGAGCTTAAGGGAGCTGGGTTTTACAGTTCCTGGGTCTTGGCCATTGATAGGATTACACAGTGCTGGGGGCAGTTGTTGGGTATAACGCCTAGCTACTGGAAGATGGGGGATCTGGGTGTAGGAGGCTCAGTTCTGATCCAAGCAGGCTTGGAGATCTCAGCCCTGGTCCCACACATCTGGGTTCCTCTGCCAGTTCCTTCACTCACGAGGCTCATCCGAACGTGTGGAGAGTGGTCTTAAACATGGCTGTGGCTGGAACCGGAGGTCTTCAGCTGCCAGGGCTCTGCTTTATATTAAAATAATTCATTTCTTTTTCTTTTTCTCATCACTACTCAGCAAAATAGGGATTTCCCACACCAGTGATTCTAGCTCATTCTTTTTTACTTAATTTTCTTTATTTTTAAACTTATCCACATATGGATTTTTCAAATTAATTACTTCTGTCTTGTCTCTAGTTTTCCAGAGATATAATTCTTATGATTCCAAGACTCTTGCCTAATTCATATCTATTCAAGATTGTCCAGAATGCTAACAAAACCTAACAAAGATATTTTTAAATGTACAGAGAGATAACAAATAATAAAGTTTTCTGAAACAATTACAGTAAAGAAATGATTTATAAAGTCAGGTACCTAAGCAAACATATCAGTGGAACCTAAATAATCCACTTAATTTAAATTAATACAATGTAATATAAGAAAGATTGCTTGTTTTTAGTAAAAATCTTTTTTTTTTCTAGGTAGAGTTGGTCTCTGTATTTCAGGATAAGATTAAATGTACCTCTGCCTAGCTCTAAACTAGGTCATTATTTTGCAATTGAAACTTTCTTTAAGTGCTTGAATGTTTTAAAATATCTTGAATTTGCTTCATTCCAGTACTTGCCTTTCAACTGCATCATTGCTAAAAGCTGCTAAACTTAGCCTGAAATATTTAACCTAAGGTTAAAAGCAAAAAAAAAAAGAAGAAGAAGAAGAAGAAAAGAAAAAATCCTTGAACAAATGAGTCATGTTTTGATCACACTTTACAATTTTTTCTTGAATTAAATTATTAATTAAAAATCATCTTATAGGGCAAGGATGTGATTCAATGGTAGAGTACTTGCCTCGCATGTATGTGGCCTGGATTCCAGTATGCTCCTGAGCACCTGTGGGGGAACTTCTGCTCAGGAACCTAAGCCCCAGCACAGCCAAGCATGACCCAAAACAAATAAAACAAACTAATAATATTGCATCTCAAAGAAAATATATAAAAATCCTCAACATAAAGTAAAAATAACAAAGTTGAGTTGTTTGCCTTGGATTTTTTCTTTGTTCAGAGGGGTGGGGTTTGGGGCCACACTTGGTTGTACTCAGAATTTATTCCTGCCTCTGAGATCAGGAATCGCTCCTGGTAGTACTCAGGGAACCATTTGCAGTGCCAAGGACTGAATCAAAGTCAGTTGCATGCAAGACACGTACCTAAAACGCTGTTCTCTCTCTTCTGTCTCTGTCTCTCTGTCTGTCTCTCTCTCTCTCTTCCCAAAGCAAAATTTATATTATTTGGGGGCTGAGTAATAGTACAGGAGGTAGGGCACACATGTTGCAAAGCTGGGTTCCATCCCCAGCACTCCATATGATCCCTGAGCACAGAGTCAGGAGTAAGCCCTGAGTAAGCGCAACTAGATGTGGCCAATAAATAAATAAATAAATAAATAAATCGATTTGTTGGACAATGAGGATGTCCTGAGGACTGAAGCGTGTGTTTTGCATATGGAGGCCAAGTTTCAATCATAGTATTACATGATACCCCAAGCACTATGGGTAGTGGTCCCCTCAGCACCTGTAAATGTGGCCCCAAAAGAAAGAAATCTTTTGGAAAAAAAATCTGAAAGTTCACTTGTCTCTACTTATGATAAATATTGTGAAATTTACAAAAAAAATAGTTACAGTATCATTTCCACTCCTTTGGTATGTCTTGCTACTCAAATTCCATGGTGAATGAACAGCTTAGAAACACAAGGAAATGTTTTTAAAAGGCAGAAGTTCAAACCTAAACTTATTCCTCAGAATCTGTGTTCTTACAAGATTCCTCAAATGATTTACAGCAGCATTATTATTTTTTAATTAATTTTATTGAATCGAGCGGGCCCAGTAACGTCTCCATTGGAGACTTTGTTGTTACTGTGTCTGGCATATCGAATACTCTCGGTAGCTTGCCGGGCTCTCCGAGAGGGGCGGAGGAATCGAACTCGGGTCGGCCATGTTGGCCGCTTGTAAGGCGAACACAAGCGGCCAACATGGCCGACCCGAGTTCGATTCCTCCACCCCTCTCGGAGAGCCCGGCAAGCTACCGAGAGTATTCGATATGCCAGACACAGTAACAACAAAGTCTCCAATGGAGACGTTACTGGGCCCGCTCGAGCAAATCGACGATCAACGGGAGGGCCTTTACTTTACTTACTTATTGAATCACCGTAAGATAGTTACAAGCTTTCATGTTTGGGTTATAATCACACAATCATCAAACACCCATCCCTCCACCAGAGCGCATTCCCCACGACCAATATCCCCGGTATAACCCCCCTTTCCCAGGCTCTCTCTGCATCCATAGCAGATATGATTCCCCATAATCTCTCTCTACTTTTGGGCATTATGGTTTGCAATACAGACCCTAAGAGATTACCATGTTTGGTCCTTTATCCACTTTCTGCACACATCTCCCATCCTGATCGATTCTTCCAGCCATCCTCTTCTTAGTGATCCCTTCTATATTCCAGCTGCCTTCTCCCCTTTGCTCATGAGACAGGCTCATAGCTATGGAGCAATCTATCTGTCCTGTGTGTATACTGTCCTTAGGAATCAGCCTCATGTTATGTTGTTTTATACTCCACAATGAGTGCAGTCCTTCTATATCTGTCCCTCTCTTTCTGACTCATTTCACTTAAGCTTGATACTATCCATGTCTATCCTTTTATAAGCAATGTTCATGACTTCATCTCTCCTGACAGTTTCATAGTATTCCACTGTGTAGATGTACCAAAATTTCTTTAACCAGTCATCTGTTCTAGGGCACTTGGGTTGTTTGCAGATTTTGGCTATTGTGAACAGTGCTTCAATGAACATATAGGTACAGATGTCATTTCTACTGTGCTTTTTTGCATCCTCGGGATATATTTCCAGAAGTGGTATTGCAGGGTCATATGGAAGCTCAATTTCTAGTTTTTGAAGGATGTCCATATTGTTTTCCAGAAAGGCTGGACTAGTGGGCAGTTCCACCAACAGTGAGTGTCCCTCCCCCCCCCACATCCACCTCAGCTTTTGTTCTTTTGAATGTGTGCCAGTCTCTGTGGTGTGAGATGATATCTCATTGTTGTTTTGATTTGCATCTCTCTGATGGCTAACGATGTGGAGCATCTTTTCATGTGCCTTTTATTTGTATTTCTTTTTTGAGGAAACTTCTGTTCATTTCTTCTTCCCATTTTTTGATGGGGTTGGAGGTTTTTTTTTCTTGTACAATTCTACTAGTGTCTTGTATATCCTTGGTATTAATCCCTTATCAGATGGGCATTGGGTAAATATTCTTTCCCATTCTGTGGGCTCTTTCTGTATTTTGGTCACTGTTTCTTTTTAAGTGCAGAAGCTTCTTAGTTTCATGTAGTCCCTTTTGTTGATGTTTGCTTCCACTTGTATGGTCAGTGTACAGCAGCATTATTGTTTAAGAAACTGCCCTAGGGCTGAACAGAATGATAGAACAGCAGGTAGGTATCTTGCCTTGCACATAGCTGTCCAGAGATGGTCCCCAACACACATGTGGTCCCTAGAACCCCAATAGCAGTGATCCCTAAGTGCAGAGTCTCAGAAGTAAGCCTTGAGCACTGCTGCATGTGTTGCAGAAACCAAAAAAGAAGAAAGTTCCTTAGTGAGGGTAAAAACATTTCCTGACTTAAAACTAAAATTTTTACTGCTTAAAAGGAAAATAAGGTAGGATAGCTCAGTGCTCAGTGGCTTGACAACATGCTTTGCAAGGGGGAGAGATGCCTTAGTTTGATCCCCAGCACCACAGACACGCAAGCATTCCAGGTATCTCTCCCAAATAAAAGTAAAATGAGTCAGAGCCTATTTTCAGAGTAGTTGAGGTGCTAGATTGTTTAGTCTAACCGTGTAGACTGAGTTGCTCTTGATTTATCAGTATCTCTAATTGAATGACCCACAAGTACTCAGTCTCTCACATTGAAAACTGGTCTGAGCATTCTTCCTTTCTCAACCTCTCTCCTCCTTCTCTCTCTCTTTCTCTCTCTCTCTCTCTCTCTCTCTCACACACACACACACACACACACACACAAACTACTCCTTTTTTTAATCTTCTATTCTTGATAACACTAGAATATCTACCCAGTCACTCACTATATACAAAATCTCAGTCTCACCAATTTTTCCTGTAGTCCTTAGTGCAAATTATTTACTTTTTTTTTTTCCTGTCTGATGTTTGTTCACCATATAGTAACAAATGTTCACCAGGCACCGAATTTATGTCTGATGTTGTGGTCAATACTGGGAATAAAGTGATAAGCAAAACAGGAAGGACCCTTAAAATCTTGGAACATATGATATAAAATTATCATTTTAAAAATGTATAAATAGCTCAAAGGGCTAGAGCACATACTTTGCACGTGAAAGGTCTGGGTTCAGCTCCCGGCACTGTGTGGTTCCCTGAGTATTCCCCAAGTATGAGTATTCCAAGAGGCAATAAAAGTGTGGGTTAAGCGATGGATGGACAGGTGTCATTACAGATCCCTTAAACATTTTGAATTTCTACTAAGATTTTTATATGAAGGAAGCATTTAGTAGCAAAAGAGAAGAAAAAAGCTCACCTAAACATTGAAGCCTCAGGCCTTTTTTAGGAATGTTATTTTGTATTGTCTTTATACTTCTCAAGTGTTATTGCATACTTATTATTTTAATAATACTTATTTTTATTATTATTATCATTCTCACTTTTCAGGAAAAGAAATAGGTTTAAAGAGGGTTAAGTGTTTTCGAAGATTATGTAACAGGTAAATGTTCCTATTTGTCCTTCCCAAGCCCTAAAGATTCCATCTAAGATAGTTACTGGCAGTTGAGTGTCTAGTCTCAAAGGTCCGTTATGGGTGCATGTGTGGGGGCGGGTCCTTCTCTTTGTATTTAGGCATCACTCTAGGTACTGCTCAGGGAATCATATGCAGAGGATCAACCAAAGTCAGCAATATGCAGGGCTGGTCCCAGGGTGCTCTCTGTTTTTCTGTCATCTGAAAATCATGGTGAGAAGTCAGCAGCTTACAAACAAAAAGGGCATTCTTTTAAGAATCTGGTCATGCTGATACCCCGATCTCATCCTTCAAGTCTCCAGAAATAAGGTCCTCTTGCTTATAAAGAAATCCCACAGCCTTTATTATAGCAGTCCTGTCTAAATCATCAACCAACACCTGTGGCAAAGTCGTCAAAGGATAATTAAATTGAATCTTTTGAATAGAATTGCTTCACTCAAGGAAGTGGTAGAATTTCAAAGGAGATAGCCAAGATTTATTATTATAAAAATCTAACTCCCATCAGTCACAAGCTTATCAGGAATATGAAAAAGCCAGATAGGCAGAGGATTATGAAGAAGGTTTTCAAAGAGAAAGCTGATAGATGGCTGTGATTCTCACTTCCTCCTTCAATCTGCCTTACTTCGCCTGCCATCTCTGATCAGCACAGGAAGAACCAAAAAAAAAAAAAAAAAACCTAGAATAAGAGTTGGAAAGGATAAACAGCAGGCCTGGAATAAAGAGCAAAGAACGATGCCCCTTACCACTTTTTGTAAGCGGCTCTGAGATTTCACCTACAGAAAAGCAAGATTTTTATTTTGAAACAAAATTGAGAGAATTAATTCTAGCCCAGACTGCATTTCTGAGTTGAAACTATATTCGCAATATTGAAAGATTTTCAAAAAATTCAAAGGATTGATTTTTTAGACAGACAGGAGGATTATTCTTCTATTATTTAACCAGTTGAAGATGGAAGGGAAGCTGTTTTTAGATTGTTGTGATCTGCCATGTTCAAAGCATCACTTTTGTAGTCACAGCCCCCAGAATTTTCTAGCCATCTGCCCAATGAAATCTGAAAAAAAAATCCCATTGCAGAGTATACTTTTGTAGCTAAGACCCAGACAGAACCCCTCAAGACTCACAAGAAAGAGAGCTTCTCTATAAGCTCAGGATCAATCAAAAACAGACTGAAGCAAAGTGGTAAGACTTGATTTCTTTTTTAAAAATTTTTTTTATTAATTTTTTATTTTATAAGGGATTTCACAATATTTGATGACATTTAATATTTAAACACCAATCCCACCACCATTACACCTTCCCACCACCATATTTGGGATGTTTCCATCCCAAGCTCCAATCCCTGTCACAAAGCACAACCGAAATAATATATTTTTATTGTTTGTTATGAAAATGCTACCAAAAAACTATCCACAGAGGAAACAGTGTGAAGATTGTTCTATGTTGGCGGAGGCCATTAAGTCCTTCTTTAGGATATCACTGACATGTTGTTAAACTTTGAGTGATGTGAACTTTCATATATCTATGCATATATATGTATATTTCCATCTATGATTGGTTACCTACTATTTTAACCCCTTCAAATGTGGTGTGGTGCTCTTGGAAAATGGGTATGGAGTGTCTTATTGAGTGTCGTGAGGCCATGAATGTGGCCACGTGGTCCAGGAATAGGTTCACTTGTGCATGGGGCTCAGCCCGAGCATGTGGGAAGCCACCATGAGCATGGAGGCAGTTGGGTTGTGAAGGTTTTTGGCTGCCAAGGCTAGGTCTCTTGGGGCAGGTAGGGCTCTCACCCACCCCCCTCTGGAGTGCCCCGAGTGAAATAGCCTGGTGCGGGGTCCAGTGGCATGGGTTCCGTGTGCATCATGCTGCTCCCTTCTGGGAGAGCTGTGATCGGGATTGTGGCCAATGACGAGATTATCTGGTGCTGGTAAGAGGTGGTTTATGGGCATGACTTCTGGGTCTCTGGAGACAAGGGGAAACAGGCAGGATCTCCACTCCTGGTCCCGTCAAATCCAGAAGACTTGGTTCTAAACTGATGCCATAGAACCAGTGTTCTCAACTTCAAGTTGAGAGATAAAATTTCCCTGCTTTGTTTATTTCTCTCCACTCTTAGTGAGGCCTAACATCTGGATGCACGCTCATTTCTCTGCCCAAAGTCAGAGTATACTTTAGCTTCAGTGCTTGTCTATACTAAGACTAGAGGGCATTGCAGGGGACTCAAAGCACATCCCACACCAAGAGCATCTGTGGTTAAGGTGGAGACAAGGAGGATTGTGCCATCTTGGTAATTCTCTATCCACAGTAATCTTGAAGTTCCCTTAAAATGGATCTCTGAACTTTATTGAACTGCTAGACCCATAGCATATTCTATCTTTAATTTTTCTTCTAGTACTTCTTTTAAAAAGTTTCCACAGTCACATTTGGCCAGCCATTGCACCTGTTGTAGTGGATCTACTTGTAACTTTGAGCCTCTAAGATGTTGTCTCTTCGTACCATCAACTAAGCTCAGCACCTGGATAATTCTGTCAGCTACTTGACTCTGCAGCAACTGAGTCCGGTCAGGTAAGATGAAGCAGTCCCAAAATGGTATCAGGAGGTCAGAGAATTAGTGCAACAGGTCAGGCACTTGCTTCACATGCAGCTGATACAGGATCTATCCCTGGCATCACATATAGTAACTTGAGCTCCACCAGGAGTGATCCCTGAGGACAGATCTAGCAGTATACCCTGAACACTGCTGGATGTGACCCCAAAACAAAAACAAACCAAAAAAGGCATCAAAACTTCAAATCAATTCTCAATAATAATTATGTTTCAACTAAGCTTAGCTTGAGAAATAGTAGAAAAGTGAAAAATAAGTATTTTTGTAACTGCTGCAAACTTTCCTGTTTATTTTCAGATGTTTTAATGCCAGGTTTTACATTCCCTTTTTCATACATTTTAATGTACAGGCCAATTTTGATTTTTTTTGCTTGCAACCTAGATTTTAGTCTTAAGGTTACTAAAATTGATTTTACTCTTTCAAGAAAAATGTCAAAATACTTCTTGTTTAATAAATCAAGATGAAAGCAAAATGGACATCTGTCAATAGTTATAGGGTTTCATAAACTCAACAATCAAAATATAGAACCTGTCATCATTTCCAATTTGGGGAAAAGCAACAAAATATGTTTTGTAGTTTTTTGATTTGTTTGCTGAGTTAAAGAAGTGTTTTATTTTTTTCCTTTACCCACTGACTTGTTGAGATTTACTCATTATTGAGGAAGCATTCAGAAAGGAAATGCTTTATTTTTTCACTAGATTCAAAATTCATGTGTCAGTCTTCTTCAGTTTTTGGAAATGAGCATTCAGATAATGATTGCAATCAGTGGGCTATTGTCTGCATTTACCATGGAAAAGGTGCTATTTAAATACTACACTCAGGGAAAGGTGCTTTGACCTAATTGATCCTGGAATCTTTTCATCAAAAACTCTTTGGTGCATTGGTGGAATTCAGCCAAGGCATCTCAGTATTTTTCAGTCATCCTGAGATTACCTCCCTTCATGCACTTCCAAATCAGACCTCAGGATAAATGTGGTGGCCCTAGTATCCATCCATTCCTCACCTTTGATCTAAGAAATGCCAAATTAGGATGTTTTCTTATTTACTTCTTTGTTGTGAGCAGCTTCATATAAATGTAATGAACTTCTTCAGGAGGTAGAAAGTTTAAAATTATGCTGTAATATTTTTTAAATTTTTTTTTCTTTTTGGGTCATACCCAGCGATGCTTAGGGGTCACTCCTGGCTCTGCACTCAGGAATTACCCCTGGCTGTGCTCTGGGGACCATATGGGATGCTGGGAATCAAGCCCCGGGTTGGCTGTGTACAAGGCAAACACCCTACCCACTGTGCTATTGCTCCAGCCCCCTCTACTGTAATATTTCAAGTAAGAGCTAAGTGAGTATCGACTCAAGTCTTAGAGTGGATTTACAGTTTGATCTGATGGATTATAACGTAGAGCTCTCCAAACTTGGAGAGATGACAACTTTTATTTAGAAATGTAGCTCCAAAAAACAATAGTTTATTAGATTCAAGGATCCTAGAATCATTAGACAGCATATAATGCAGAGGTCAACTGGAAAACCTTGCAGTGCTGGTTCCAAGGTGGGTGGGGGTGGGAGTAGCTGTGGGGGTGGGGGCGGGTTGTTAGGTACAGACTTTATTGAGGCATTTTTCTCTAGAGAAGACAAAGGTAGGTTGAAGAGTTGGAATTTGCTAGTTGTAATACTTTTGGCTATAAGAATACCTGGTTACCTGTCATCGTGAAGTGATAAAGACAGAAATAAAATATTGCTCACAGATCTATTAATTAGAGAAATAAAATTTGGGTTTTAATTGGATTGGTAACATAGCAAAGACACATTTTATTGGCCTTTCATTTTCAAGCTATGCTTGGAATATCACGTTTCACTCAAATGAGAGAAAGAATCCGGAGTTCCGACATCCATCGACGATCAAGAATCAGGGACGCTGTCTCATTTGCCAAGGTGTCAAAAATCAGATGGGCTGGTCACGTAATGAGATTTAATGGCGACCGCTGGACTAGAGCTGTTACCGACTGGATTCCACGGGATGTCAAAAGACCGCGTGGCCGCCCACCTACCAGATGGTCAGACTACTTCGTCAAGATCATGAACGATGGGTTTGAGGCTCTTCATGTTCCCAGAGCGAACAAATGCCATTGGGCTACACTAGCACGCGACAGGGAAAAATGGAGATGTTACTGGAGCCCGCTCGAGCAAATCAACGACTTAACGGGAAGTTAAGTGATTAAGTGATTAAGTGATTCATTTTCAAGAGTTACCAGGGGCCAGAGCCAGAGTACTGCAGGGAGGATGTTTGCCTTGCAGGTGGTCAACTTGGGTTAACTCCCAGGGACCCCATATGGTCTCATGAGCTCATTCAGGAGTGATCCCTGAGAGCAGAGCCAGGACTATGGCCTAAGCAGTGCCAGGTATGGCCCCCAAAAATAACAAAGAAGAGTTGACTAGATCATGTAGACACAGTATTTCCCCAGGCAAAAATGTTTTTTAAATACAAAATGATTATAATATACATGAATAATTTTTTTTTAATTTTGGGGCTACACCTGGCTTTACTCAGGGAATACTTCTGTCTCTGGGCTTAAGCATCACTCCTCGAGGGGCTTAGGAAACCATACAAAGAGCTTGAAATCAAACCTGGCTTGGACATGTGCACCCTACCCTTTGTTCTATACTTCCAGCGCAAAATCTAAAATATTTATAAAGCATCTTATCATAAAATGGTTTGGGAATAAGGGTCTCCCAAATACTCATGTTTATTTACTTTTAAATTGTATTACAGGAGTGGAGTTCATGCCCGATTCAATCAGCTAATCAGTGGCTGAATAAATAGCAGTACTCCTACATAAAAAATAAATAAATAAATATAAATAAATAAATAAATTGTATTACAGGAGCCGGGACGATAAGACAACAGATAGGGCATTTGCCTCATGTGCAGCCAACCAGGATTCTATCGCTGGCATCCCTTATGGAACACCGAGCACCACCAGGAGTAATTCCTAAGTGTAAAGCCAGAAGAGTAACCCCTGAACATCACCGGGTATGGAC